GCCCCCACGGCTGCGCCAACCCCGAGCTGTGGCGGCGTGGGGTTGGCCACCCTGCGCCCGGCGCGCAGAGGCGCGAAGTAAAGGCGGATAAAGGAAAGTGGGGGCGGCGCCCCTCCAGGTATCCAGGCCTTCGCTTCCCTTGTTCTCGCGGGTCCTTCCCCACCGCGCACCCGCCACACTTGCAGGCGGAGGGAAATCCCGCCCTGGGGACGACTCTCTCGGGCGCCCCACACCTTGGAAAGGTGGGCTCGAGTCTCCAGCACAGATCACCTGTGCAGGGGACAGACACCCGGCGCGTCTGCGCCCCACCCCCGGGCCCGACGGCGTCTCGCCTTCGCTCGGCCCGAAGGGCACCCACGCGGGTGCCGAGCTGCACCCCGCCCCTGCCCCTTCCCCCCTCCGAGCCAGTCTTCCATAGCAACCGTTGCTAAGGGGTGTGGCTAGCCCCCCCGCAGAGCCTGGGTGGTTCCGCAACTCATGAATATTTGATTATTCAAATGAGGTTCTGCCCCTGTTGCCATGGCGCCCAGATCCCGCAACCCCGCGGCCGGAAGAACGACCCGGAATCGGAGAGAGCGCCAGGCGGCGGAGGGTGCCCAGGGCCGAGCCCGCAGGGCCGGGGCACTGGGGGAGCCCTCAGGTGAGAGCCGAGCGCGCCTTTGGGTCCCGGCCTCAGGCTTCCCTATCTCCCTGGTGCCAGAGGGGAAACTGAGGCCGAGGAGGGGCTGGAGGATTAAGCATCAAAGCCAGTGGGGGACTCAGTGATGCCCCAGTTGTCACGTCTGGTCCCCTGGGGACCCTGCCTGCAACCCCTGGCTGTGCTTTGAGAGGTTCTGGGTCCCTGAGATAGGAGGGGCCCCGAGCCCTGGCGCTGGGGGAGACGGAGGCAGGGAGCAGGCTCTGCGGGGGTCTCGGTGGAGGGGACTCAGCCAGGAGCAGACCCTGGCTTCAGAGCCTCTCCCCGACAGTGAAGGATGGCGCTGGGGGAACCCAGAGAGCCCATAAGCCAGGCCCGGGCTGGCACTCGCCTGGGCTGTGGAGGCCCCAGGTTTCCAACTTGGGGGCTCAGGGAGTGGCAGGGCAGGGTGGGAACAGGGCCAGGGGCTGTGCGGACAGGTTCGGGCCAGTGCACGAATGTGAGCGGGCAGTGTCTACACGGGAGCCAGTCTCCAACCCAGGCCTTGCTCCTTGGACCCCAAGATCTTTGGGCCCGACTGGACAGATCCTCTGGGCCTAGCTCAGGGCAGGGCCTGCAGCCAGATGCTCTCAGGCACAGAGGGGAGAGGGTGCTGGGCTCATCCCTTAGTGCTGTCTGCAGGCACCCCAGGAACAGAGCCTGGCTGGCCCATCGCCTCCCCATAGCCTGAGGCTCGCAGGGGTGGGCAGCGTCTTCCCAGGGGGCAGGGTGGTAGGGTCCTCCTACCAGGCTTAGGGCCCTTCACCAGCTGGAGAAAGGCAGAAAGCCCAGGGAACTTTTGGAAAGAAGTCCCGGCCAGAAACTCCCTGAGACTTTGTGTGGGGCTCACCTGCATGGCCTCAACCTCCATGGGTCCTCCCCATGCCGCTAGCTTTCCAGGTTAGGTCCCTGAGGCACAGGGGGCCTGTGCAGCTTGTCCCAGGGCCCAGCACTCCCACCGTCTGTCAAAACCCAGCGGGCCACTCCCAGGCAGAGGTGGGGGGTCTGTGGACGTGATGAGGAGGATGAATCTTGAATGTGCACAAGGGGCTGGTTAGCGTGCATGGTGGTCTCATGAGTTCCTAGGGCCAGTACCTGAGAGCCCCTCTGTGCCCACTCTGGGCTGGCAGGCAAGAGTCCTGCCCATGCAGAGCCCACCTGTCTTGGGGCAAGGTCCTCGCTCAACTCAGGGAGCTGGCCAGCCCTACTCTCTCTTGCAGGTGCCGCCTGGGGCCACATGCCACCCCCTTGCCCGGATGTTTGACCCACAGTGGGAAAAGGCCTCTGCCTCCAGGTGAGGGGGCTCAGTGGCCCAGGGGTGGGGGGTGGGGGATATGCCTGAGACCCTGGTCCTGGGCTCCCCAGGCGCAGAGACCATCAGGTGGGGAAAGTGTAGCACAGGGCCTGAGGCGGCAGCTTGCTGCTGGTCACAGAGGGCAGTTCAGCAAACATGACCTGGAGCCAGCTCCCCTCACGTGGACCCTGAAGGAACACAGGGAGGGTGACCTGCCCAGGCAGGGAGTGTGAGCCAAGGCTGAGGGTGGAGACAGCAAGGCCCCCAGGCAGGCTGAGCCAGTGAGAACACCCCTGAGCCTTCTCTGGGCCCAGGGCTGTGTAGGACCCTGTCGAGGGCTGTGTGGATGAGCCCTCTGCCTGTCCTGGCAGGTTGGATGTGAATGGACCAGACCTGGGACAGGGCCCCTGGGCGTCCACCAAGCGTGGCCAGTGTCCAAGTGCGGGAGCTGAGTTGGCAGGGCCTGCATAACCCCTGCCCGCAGAGCAAGGACCCCGGCAGCCATGGGGAGAGCCATGGCAAGCGGCTGGTAGAGGAGTACCTGTCTCCTGCCCGGCTGGTAAGTGCGGGGGGGGCGGAGCGGCACTGGGGGCTCAGGCTGCAGGGGCCTGCGGCAGTGATGTTTGGGGCTGGTGTCCAGCCTGCCCTCTGTCCTGGCCCTGCTGACCCTTCCTGCTTGATGGATGTGTGCTTGGTGACATAGATGTCCCCCAGGCATTCAGACCATGGGAGGGGCTGAGCTAGGTAGGAATTCCATAAGTATTTGCTGAGCACCCACTGTGCTCTGGGCTCTCAGGACCCCTCTGTGAGCACAAGAGGAGGCCTTTTGTCAAGCAGCAGATTTTCTGGTGGGAGACAGGGCGGCAAACCCTCCAGGTGCACAGCAGACAAGGTGCACAGTATGGGGAATAAATGAAACTATGAGTTGCTAGGGTCCCACTGGTCATCTCTGGAGCAGCTGATGAAGGCTTTGTCCCAAATCCGGGGGGGGGGGAGTTTGCTGTTTTCCCTGACCCCACCCTTAGGACAGCAGGTTCTACATAGCCTCTGACTGCAGGTCCCCATTGGGTGACCCCCCCTAGGGAGCCCTGCACCTCCCAGCATCCCCCACCTCCCTTCCTGGCCATGCTTCTTGTCCGCCATTGGCCTTGGTGAGGGGCAGACACTGCCACTGCCAGGCCCTCCATCACCCCACCCATGCTTACCCTGGGAGGGAAGAGGTTCATTGGAGACACTTGGGTGATGCACCCACCAACACACAGCCTGGCTGCCTGAGGTCCCTGCCTACCTTCCTGACCAATACTGCAGGTGGACAGGACATTTTCACCAGGCCCCTTCCCCATGCCTCCCGCTGGTTCTTCAGTGACACTTATGTGGCCCTCCAGCCATGCCTGCAGTGCCCACACCTTCCCAGTGCCCCTGTCCAGCATTCAGCTGTCATCGTGAGCTGTCACATCAGAATGGGCCCACCCAACAGCTCCTGTCCTTCTCAACCCCCCCCCCCTCCGGACAGCAGGAAAGGGTGGGACTGGGGTCCAGCCTGGCTACGCCCAGGGAGCACCAGGAGCAGGGTCTGGCAGGGCAGTGACCCCCATGGCACCTTGGCTGGGCCTGGAGGTACACCTGGCCTTGTCACCTGCCCAGCACCACACACCAGGAACCTCTCACACCAGGCCAGGCTGGGACAGACCAAGGCGAGTCACTGGGAAGGAGTGACCACTGTCCAGTCCCAGGGCTGAAGCTCAGTTGGTTTCTGCAGCAGGCCCTGGCCCAGGTGGATGACCTCCGGCTGGTGAGCATGCTGGAGATGTGCGTTGATACCCGTGAACATAGCCTGGGGAACTTTGGTAAGAGCCCCTCACTGTCCACACCCACCACTGTCAAGGCCAGACCGCTCTTTAAGGGTCTGCTCACTCAGGCCCTGCCTGCCAGGCTCTGCTCTTTGGATCACTGCACCCCATGGGCCTACCCTGCACCCCACAGGCTCACTCTGTACCCAACAAGCCCATCCTGTACCCCACAGGCCTGCCCTGTACCCCTCAGGTCCATCTTATACCCCACTGGCCCGCCCTCTACCCCACTTGCCCACTCTGCATCCCACAGGCCTGCCCTGTGCCTCACAGGCTCACCTTGTACCCCACAGACTCACCCTGTACCCCAAAGGCCTGCCTCATATGCACAGGCTCACCCTGCACTCACAGGCTCACCCCACACCCTACAGGCTCATCCCGCACCCCACAAGCCTGTCTTGCATTCCTCTTTCCAGGCATTGGGGTCTGTCTCACCGGGCCAGTGCCCTGTCGTTTGTCCAAGTCAGTAGCTCAGAACCTTTTCCTGGGGGCTTTGGGAAGTTCAGGGATACTGGCTGGGGGTCCTATGCTCTGGTACCTAGTGCTATGAACTGATGGAGGTTATGGTCTGGGGGTACTTGGGGTGCCTATGGGCAGGCCTTGGGAGGTGGCTGGGGGCCGGACCCAAGCTTTGGCAGCCCCGCCCGTGCCAGCTGGCTCCCCTCCTCCAGGCTAGGTCCTGGAGACCAGTGGCCTGGGGCTTCCAGTGTGGCCCTGTTGGTCAGGTGCGCCCTGCCCTGCCCTGCATGCTTCATTTGAGCCTGGCCCCAAAAGGAAACATTGTGCTGGGCCTCAGAGAAGCCATGAGGCAGCAGGACCAGAAGGGGCTGCAAGGGCACAGAGAGGTGAGAAGGTGAGTGAGTGGGTAGGTCGGCCTCTGACCTCCTCCCTGTGGCCCCACAGGGGTGCACCTGCCCAACCTCAGCCAATTGAAGCTGAATGACAGCCGCCTGGGCTCCGTGAGGTGAGTACGCCTCCTGCAGACCATAGGGGTGGGACAGGGTGTCCAGCCACACCTGGGGGAAGGGCCCTAAAGGGGTTGAAGGGAGAGCTCAGTCAGGGTGAGGTCTGTCCTGGGTGGCTGCCTGTGGAGAGGCTCCTCTCTGTCCTGCTGTCCGTCTGCCAGCCCTGCTGCACCTTTCCTGCCTGACTCATGTCACCCATCACCCACCGCTGACTGGTCAGAGGCACCTACTGAGGGTGACACTAGGGCCTGTGTTCAGGGTCAGGCCAGTCACACCAGGTTGTGTGGCTAACGAGGTCTCCAAGGACCCACTGACCTTTGACAAAGGGTCGCCAACCCGTGGGGGATCTCTGGCAGATGCTCCAACACCAAGCAAGACCTCAGGGTTTGGGGTGTACCTGCCCCGGGGGGCTGGAGCTGGAGGTCGTGCTGGTGACCATCAGTGTGCCTCAAGCTGAGCAGATGGTACAACCTCTCAGGACAGGCGAATGGTTTCTGTTTATCTCAGGGGGCTGCAGAGAACAAAGTTAAGGGAATATCAGACCTCGTTTTTGGTGTTTGAGAGCTCTGCTGGTTCTGTGCCCCAGGCAGAGGGGGCGCCCAGAGAGGTCAGGAGACAGAAAAGCCAGCCTGCCCATATGCAGGGCAGCAGCTAGCAGAGGGAGGGTAGCCGGGATGGCTCCACCAGATCTTGAAAGCACAGCTGGGCTGGAGGCAGGGTCATAATTTGGGGAAACCATCCAAAAGAGAGGCCAGGGGACAGAAAGGGAGGGAGAGCACCCTGGGGTGGGCCCACTGGGAAAGGGGCCATCTCACACACCCCCACTGCACTAGCAGCGTCAGCAGCAGCAGCGGGTTAGGCTGGGCTGAGCTGTCCAGCACAAGGGGGTCCCCCTCGGCCAGGCCTAGGCCCTCCAGGGGTTGGAGAAGGTACCTGCCCCGGACCAGGGGCTGCAGCATGGAGGGAAGGCAGGGAGCCCCTTCTTCAGCCTGGAGGATACCACGAGCCACACTCACACCTGCCATGCACCTGGAGACAGCCAGATGTGGGTGGTGGCTGGGCATGAATCATGGCACAGGGCCTTCATGGCCACAGACATGCCCTCCGCCCCAGAACAGCACTGACCACCCAACCCTGCCCTCTGCAGAGACCTGGGCACCTCTCTGGGACACTTGCAGGTACTATGGCTGGCTCGCTGTGGCCTGACTGACCTGGATGGCATCGGCTCCTTCCTGGCCCTGAAGGTGGGTCTGCGGTGCCCTGGGCTGGGGAAGGCACCACACCAGGCCCTGGCTGAGGTTCCTGTACTGCCCCAGGAGCTGTACGTCTCCTACAACAACATCTCGGACCTCAGCCCGCTCTGCCTGCTTGAGCAGCTGGAGGTGCTAGACCTGGAGGGCAACAACTTAGAGGACCTGGGGCAGGTGCGCTACCTGCAGCTGTGCCCAAGGCTGGCCATGCTCACCCTGGAGGGCAACCTGGTGTGCCTACGGCCAAGCCCCTCCGACGAGGTGCGTGTGGTGGGCGCCCAGCCAGCTGTGTGCAAGGGATGGGGAGGCACTCTGTGGCTTCGGCCTCTTGGCCCTCCCATGTCCTGGGGGCCATGTGCACCCTGTAGTTTGTTCACTGTGAACTGGAGGCCTGGCAGCTGCCAGTGCATCCTCCTGGCCAGGACCAAACCCCACAGGGCCACGTGTACAGGCCATGTGGAACCACGCGTGCTCTGTACAGTTTCCACATAGAATCCTGTACACACACACACGCAGTCCCTGTCCAGAACCCGCAGGCCTGTGCACACTGCAGCTCACACCACCTGCCCTGCCGTCTGCTCCTCTGGCCAACTGGGCCAGAGCTCTGAGCTCAGGGCAGCTCCACAGGCCAGAGGGCACCAGTGGACCCTGACTGTGAACCTGGACAGTAAGATCACATGGGTGAGAGCCCAGGGTCCCCAAAGTCCCTGGTGCCCAAGAGTGATCCAGGCAGCCTAGCAGGTGGGGCAGCCTCACCAACCCCAGCTCCCCTGCCCCACCCCACAGTGGGTCTGGGGTAAGTCGCCCCAGGACACAGCTGGCCTGAAGGACCCACAGCCCCAGGCTTGCCACCCCTCTCTGCCCTGCAGGTGCCCCAGGGCTACAACTACAGGGCTGAGGTGAGAAAGCTCATCCCCCAGCTGCAGGTACTGGACGAGATGCCAGCCACGCAGACAGGCCTGCCAGCCTCCTGGAAGCTGGACCAGGACTGGCTCATGGTGAAGGAGGCCATCAAGGAGGGCAGCATCCTGGATGGCCTGTTCCCCAAGCTGGGCACACCAGCTGCTCACCTGGCCTCTGGCAAAGGCTGCCCCAGGAGAGGTGCTCACCCCGTGCCCCACCCCAAGACAAAAGCTCTCT